TTATTTGGGAAATTAATCAAATTTTAATTCCTAATTTAAATAGCTAATTAATTGATTATTTAAATATATATTGTTGGCCAATTAAAGATTGCCACATGTATATTTTGAAGGCCAATTAAAGAATGCCACATGTTATTTTCTTGGAGAGTAAAATAAATATTTATTTCTTTTAATAATATTTGAAGAGATAAATAAATGGAAATTCATGGACCAATCAGATTGAAGTCTTCTTTTCCAAGACTCTCTCTCCTAATTATCTCTTTAAATAATTATTAAGAGATAAATATTAGAAATTATGGACCAATCAAATTGAAGTCTTCTTTTCCAAGACTCTCTCTCCCAACACCTATAAATAGGGACCCTCCCTAAGGTGAAAAATCACAATTCATATTCAAGTTTCAAGTTCCAAGAGCTCTACAGAATTATCTCAACGAAATTCAAGTGTTCTTGAAGATCCAAAGGCGTTTTTGAAGATTCGAAAGAAGATTCAAGCACGTTCAAGCCCAAAACCGACGTTCAATCCGGAAACAAGCTGTCAAGCCTCCGAATTGCGTTATTAAAGTTCAAGTGTTTTAAAGATTCAAAGGCGTTCTTGAAGTCCCGAAGGAGGATTCAAGCGCATTCAAGCCAAAAACCGACGTTTAATCCGGAAACAAGCTGTCAAGCCTCCGAATTACGTTATTCAAGTCAAGACCGGCGTAGAGAAGATCAAAATCAACTTTGCGGCGAAGACCAAGGATTCGTGTTCTTCACGTTCTTGGGAAATCACGACGTTCGATTCGAGATCAAGCTATCAAGCCCTCGAAGAAACGTTATTTAAATCCATATTCAAGACTGACAGAGATCAAACTGAAGATTAGTCTCCAAAAATCTCAAGTCTATTTGAAGATCGTTCTTGAAGAAATTAATCAGAGGAATAATAGAGATTTGTAATCCACTATATTTCTTTTGATCCATTGAAAATCAATTTGTACGAATTTCTCGTGTTTATTAATTCAATAATACGAAATTTTGCGTTACAAATTTCTGGCACGCCCAGTGGGACAATCTCTACCTCTCATCTCTTTTCTTCAAGATATATAAGTGCAACGATGACTCCTCCTAAGTCAACTTCTTCAAGTTCTGCAAGCGAAAGTGTTGATGTCGTAACAAGAAGCATGGCAAAAAGCAAGAGTGTATCTCTGGAAGGAAATTCTCACCAAGTTGAAGGAAATCGGCCGCCTTTGATGAACCAAGAGGAAGATTTGAGAGACGATGCTTCATCAACACCTTTCTCAATGGAGGCACATGTTATGATGACGAATGCATCAACCATTGAAGAGAAACTTGCAACCATGGCAAAAACAATGGAGTCGCTGATGAAACATGTCCAAAATCAAGACTCCACAATTTTAAAGTTGCTAGAAAGGGTCGACAAAGCTGAGACTAGCCGTGCTGAGGGCAAGCAGGACGAAAGACATGAGGATGAAGAAACTTCTAAAGAAGATGAGGTGAAACAAACTGAAAAAGAGAAGTCGTCGTCAGAGATCCATGTTTCTGCAAGCGGACTCATACCAGCTGACCGACTCAAAGAATTCATCATGGGAACCATCAAGGACAAATTTGACGGAGGCTCCAAGTCATCTTTGACTTACTCGAAGCCATACACCCAAAGGATTGATAGCTTGAAGATGCCTACTGGATATCAACCACCGAAATTCCAACAGTTCGATGGTAAAGGTAGCCCGAAACAGCACATAGCTCACTTCATTGAGACTTGCAATGATGCTGGAACATATGGAGATTGTCTAGTGAAGCAGTTTGTTCGATCACTGAAGGGAAATGCGTTCGAGTGGTACACCGACCTGGAGGCGAATTCTATTGATAGCTGGGAGCAACTAGAGCAAGAGTTTCTTCAATCGCTTCTACAGCACACGAAGGACGGTCAACATGATTGAGCTCACTCATACAAAGCAGTGGGATGAAGAGCCTGTTATTGACTACATCAACCGATGGAGAAATCTAAGCCTCAATTGCAAGGATCGACTGTCTGAAGCTTCGGCTATTGAAATGTGCACTCAAGGGATGCACTGGGGTCTCCGATACATTTTGCAAGGGATTCAACCGAGGTCGTTTGAAGAATTGGCCACTCGCGCACATGATATGGAGTTGAGCATTAATGCAAGCGGGGTCAAGAATCCACCTATCCATGAGCCTCAAAAATTCAAGGATCGAAATGAAGCCAAGAAAGGGGGCAAGTTTCCCTCTAGAGCACCTAACAAAGAGGTCAAGGAAGCAATGGCGGTCAATGCAAGACCCATCAAACTCAAGGGAAACACAAGCGAAAAAGCTGTGGAAAAGAAAGAAGTCCCTCAAGAAAGAGGGCAAAGAAAATTAACCTTGAAGGAGATGCAAGCCAAACAATATCCTTTTCTTGACTCTGATGTTTCTGGAATTTTTGACGACTTGATTCGGGAACAACTTATTGAGCTTCCAGAGATGAAACGACCTGAAGAAGCAGGACAAGTTGACAACCCAAAATACTGCAAGTATCATCGTCTGGTGAGTCACTCCATCGAAGATTGCTTTGTCTTCAAAGATAGAGTTATGCAGCTGGCACGACAAGGCAAGATATCGCTTGAAGAAGACAAAGGGACTACGAACTTTGCTTCAATTGTGACCTGCGAGGAACGATATGAAAGTTTCGCTTGTAATATGACGAGCGAGCAAGATGATGTCCCAAATGATGAGGAGTCGACTGATGACAAAGAACGATGCGACCCTGAAGACAATGATGCAGCAGTCACTTTTACAGATGAAGACTTGATGTTGGGCTCAAAACCCCATAATAGGCCTTTATTCGTAACTGGTTACACTCGCGAGAAAAAGGTGAATCGCATATTGATAGATGGAGGTTCTGCTGTGAACATTTTGTCTCTGCGTACTCTAAAAGAGCTGGAGGTCCCGACAGATGAACTCTCAAACAGTCGGTTGATGATTTAAGGCTTTAACCAAGGGGGACAACGAGCTCTAGGCATAATTAGATTGAAGTTAGTAATTGGGGAGATGACTTCAAATGCTCTTTTCCATGTGATAGATGCCAAAACCTCTTATAATATATTATTAGGGCGTCCTTGGTTGCATGAGTATGGAGTGGTGCCTTCTACTTGGCATCAATGTTTCAAATACTGCCAAGATGGTGTAGTAAGAAAGGTTCTTGGAGACGATAAGCCTTTTACTGAAGCCGAGTCTTATTTTGCTGATGCTAAGTATTATTTTGAAGAGGTTAAGGCTGTTGGCACTAAAGACGTTCTCATCAAACAACCAAATGGAGCCAAAGAGAAGAAAGCCAAGAATCTTGCTGAGAATGACCCTCTTGATGGGCTGGTGTTGCCGTTACCTAGTCTCGATACCAAGAAACCAACCACGCAACCCCTGGGAAAGTTTGTCCGCCCAATCGAAGGAGCTAAGACGGAGCACGGAGGGGAGCTTCAAAACTCTAAGTACTACGACCCAAAAGCATATAAACTTCTTGTCAAATCTGGATACGATCCAAAAGAAGTGAGTACTTTGGGAACGCTTATTCCGCAAGCAGCAAAAACTCAAAAGAGGGATTCTAGAGTGGCAAAAACTAGAGTTGGTCTCGGATTTGCGGCACCAAATCCAGTTCGGATCGCCATAAAACGAGTCAATTCTAATCATGTGTCCGAAGAAGGATTTTCATCGACTGATCATTTGAAACATAGAGAAAGAAGATCAGTATTTGAAAGGCTCGGACCCATTCAAGAGTTAGAGTCCAAAAGAACTAGTCATCAAAGACTTGGTATTCGAAGGATGGTAAGATACGGGAAGATAGAGAGAAAGTTCCACGAGCTTCGAAACTTGGTACCGTCACGAATGAAGAGACATAACACATTGATTGTTTCATGTGGTAATGTCTTGCAGACGAAGATGCAAACAATCGTGCACACGAGAGTAAAGGATAAAGAAGAAAGCGATGGAGAAAGCGTCGCTTCGACTAATCAAGTGAGTACTGTTGCCCCAAGAGCAAATCCTCGAAACATCGGAAGCTCCTTGCGTCGAACAATCGTTGCAT